TGCTCCCTCCTGTGCCAGGAAGGAGGGGAGGGGAGAGGAAAGACCGGTCTTCCTCTCTGCTGTTTCTCATGCCCATGATTCCCTCATGGTCTGAGGGAAGGATGGCCACCTCCCCTGTGAAGACAAGTCCCAGATCTCCAGAGTTTTGCAGCAAGAATGTCTCTAGGCAGGTGGGGCAGTGGGGCCAAGCAACCCATCACAGACCCTTAGAATTCACTTTCCTCAGGTGTTTTCTCTCTCAGGCCATTGCTGCTGCCACCATTCTGGCCTAATCAAGAACACAGTCCCCTTCCTTCTCCCTGCTTAGTGTGATGGATCAAGGCTGAGAATTCCCACACTAACACATATTAAGGGAAGAGACAGGGGAAGGAAGCAAAGGAGTCTTTGCAGACTGAAACACTTGGTCTTATAGGGCTCACAGTGCTCGGTTATCCCAGACCTGCCAAATCCCTCCTCATGTCCCCATAGTGCTTTAGAGGGTCCCAAAGGAGCAGCACAACTTCACAGGCCCCTTGCTTGTGTTTCTTCATTCCTACTCCTTGTGTCTGTGTGGGGAGAGTAGCCATACGAGCACCTTAAAACAACTCAGCCACCTTGACCTTTAAGGTCAATAATCAGAGGAAAAAAACTCCACTGTGTCATTTCCTACAGGAGTCCCATCCTGTGTGTTTGGAGGACTACAAAAGGCCTCCTCAGGTGAGAGGTGACAAGAAAAACCCCATCCTTTTAAGGAAATCCATGCACCCAGACTCAACAGAGTACTATTACACTCCAAAAATTCTAGCATCTCTTCCTTACCAGGAGGAGGGACTACAGAGGTTCCTGGTCCCAAATTTACTGTGAAGCCCCATAACATAGCATTTGCAGAAACAGGGTCTACTCTTTTGGGGCCAGGATGGTAAAGGGCAGTATTTCTGAGTCCACTCTGTCCCGGGACAAACAACAAACATAATGGTCCATAAACTTATCATGTATTCTTACTCATGACTACTCTCTAATAAAAATATCTTTAATTCACAGGCTTATGTGGATGGAGCCAGCCCAATGAGCCTGCCCTTTCAATCAGAGCAATCAAGGAGGTGTGGGGACCCCCATCTGTACCTGGGATTGGATCCAGAGTCCAGTTAGCCTGGGTCTCAAGCCTGCAGAATGTTCTGGAACTCCATGACGTGAGGTGGGCCCAGGTTTTTGAGTTTGTAGGACCAAATGTCTCACCCTCCATTTATCAGCTACATAATTCCACAAAGGTTGGTAAAATTTCCTGTGCCTTAATTTCCTTATCTGCAATGTGAGAGTCATAAGATCTTCTTCATAGGAAATAGAGGCGAAATACGATAACGTGTTTAGCACAGTGCTTGGCACACAGCGAGCTTGGAAAATGGCAGGGATGGTTGGTGGAGTGGGGCAGAACAGGCCACTCCAAGGACCAGGGCCTGGACAGAGAAAAAGTCATGCTGGGACGTGATGGGACACCAAGGAAAGCAAGGCCAGCCCTTCCCTAGCAGGCGGGTGCCTCGAGGGGCCAGATGGGACTCCAGGTTGCAGAAATTTTTTTTTAACTTTATAGGTTCTAAAAGGTCAGGCTCTTTGGTGTTAAAAGTTTTAAAGACCAGTAAAATTTACAGAAGATTTGAGACACGGCTGTCTTGGAAAGGCTGGAGCCAGGAGCCTACAGGATCCCCGCTCTGTCCATAACTGGCTGTGGGAACTGAGGCAGGTCACGGAGGCCCTCTGGGCTCTGTATTTTCACCTGGAAAATGGGAGCAAGCCACGTGGTAAGGGGTAGGGCAGTGTGTGCCGGCATGAGCCTGGGCTCGTAACCACCTGATGACACCGAGCTCTTTCCAGGGTTTAGACCCAGGCTGATTGACTTCTGGAAAGCCCCACGCACACGTGTGAGCCCGGTCTTGCTTGCCACGGTGTTGGGAGCACAACGGAAGGTCCTGGGCTACAGGTCCTGCATTCTTGGGGCTTTTCAGTCCCCACGTTGGACCGCTGCCATCTGCGTGTCTGCCTCCGCTCCCTGGGAGGAGCCCAGCCGTCTGCAGCCAGAGCTCGGAATCAAATTAGCCAGCCCTCTTGCTTTTCCCTCGTCCCCACTGGCCAAGGAGAGTTCATCAAGGCCTCGCACTAATTTTTATCTTGTTTAAAAGGGACAAAAGTGACTCCACAGTTTCGACAGAGGCAATTTACACCCCGCCACTGGCCACAGCTCCAGCTGCCCCTGTCTGTTGTGCCGTCAAATCCATTAATAGGAAATTTCTTCAGGGGAAGCTTCATTGCAGCAACATCGGTGAGGCACACAGGCAATACATCTCCATTCCAGGCCTCGGCCTGCCCGGCTCGCTCTAATCCCATTACCTAGGGAGCTAATTCTCTAATGCACACACTGTATCGAGACATCCGCTCCCCCCACTCCACCCCCAGCTCATTTGGGCAGTCCCAGAGGATTCCAGGAGCCCAGCGCAGAAACGAAGGCTTCGGGCTCAGAGCACAGGGCCTCCAGGCTTTCTCGATGCCCCTGCACGGGTCTCGGCACACGCCCCCCAACAGTGTCGGAGGGTCAGCCCCATTCAGTCCACGTCCTCACCCCCCACTGCTTCCCAGCTCAGCCTCTCCTGCAGCCTTCTCTTCCTCCTTCTGCATCCCTCTTTGTGTCTCCTTTTCTCCTGATCTTCTACTCCTAGCTTCCTTTTCTTTCTCAGTTTCCTGCCAATGTTCTCTTTTTCTCATCTTCCTTTTATTTTTTGCTTCTCTCCCTTCTCCTTCTCCAGATCTCCCTTTTCCTGTAGTCTTACCTTCTGCTTCTTCGCACCCTGCCTTGGTTCTGCACCTCACTCAACAGGTTCAGGGCCAGAGGCTCCTTCCTGCTCTCTGTCTCCAGATGACTTGGCTCTGTGGCAGGCGTGGGCTCCAGGCTACACTGGTCTCAGCTGGGAGCAAGAGACGAGGGAGTGCCTCGTGAGTGCACACAGTGAACCTCAGGGAGGACAAAATGGGGCATTGGGGCAGTAGTTAGGGCATGCAAGGGGACAGCTAAGTATTGTTTATTCTAGAAGGATGAACCCCCAAATGGGTTACTGCTAAGCACTGAACCTGGTAATGCCCATACGAAGACACCCCATCAGGGAATGGTATAATGCTATATGCAGGTTTTATAATGCACAGCAAAACGAAAAGTCCTTCTAGAAATTTGCAGCAGATTTCTAAGTGGCAGTGGCCAAAGATGGAGGTGAGCTTGAGCCTAAGAATCTTTGTGTATCACTCCAGATGCTGGGCCCCAGGATGCATTTAGGGGTCCACAAGTGCCCCTCCTAATTTAGAGCCCCTTCAGGACCTCAGCCTGGAGGCCTGGGGGCAGCCTGGTTCTTGCCTTGCCTTCTTCAGTTGTTAAGCTGGGAGTCTGGATGCGTTCATTCCGGGGTGGCGGGGTCTGGCTCTCTAAATTCCTTAGAAGTTTGGGGGTACCTATTTTCTCCTTCCACTTGCCCCCATCTCCATTCCTCTAAAAGGAAATCCTGGAGATGATTTTCCTGGTTTTTCTGAGTTGTGCAGTGAGGAAGCATGTGACTTAAGAGAAGTGTAGCCCAGCCTCCTTGAGCTTGACTGAACATTCCAGGACCAGACTCTGGCTCAGAGCCATATGAAGGGACAGGGACGCCATTGGTGAAAGGTATAATGCCAAAAGCAGATTCCATCCTGTGCATGAATAAGGGGAAAAATCCAGACAGAGCCAAAAAGGACTCATCCCTGCCCAAGGTGATTTTTTTTTTTTAACTTAATTGCAATTCAGAAAACTCCTTCCTCCAGGTTTCCCAGCTTATGCCACACTTAAACTCAACTGGAAAAAAAAGTGAAAGGCATAAAAATGTTCTGCGACTGAGGCTTGCCACGATCTGAATACAAGTGCATTGTGCTTTGAACGCACTCGAGGTGGAAATGTCCGCTTCTACTCCAAATGGTGATGTGGGAGTGGGATTCACTCCAACTCACAGCGATACTCTTCTCAGACAATTTTGTGGGCACACAGTTGGGGATCTGAGGGGTAGATCGTTTCCTATTCAATTTACAAAGGAAAGAGAAACACTTCTTCGAGGAAAACATTTCAAAGGTAAGTGTTGAGAATGCTCATGAATTGATATTAAGCAAAGAAAGGAGTGGGGTGCAAAGTTAAGTGCTTGGTATATGTACTTCGCTGCATACAGATCACAGAAGAAAATAATAGGACAGTACACAGCAAAATATTAACAGGGGCTGTGTCTGGGTAGTAAGGAAGCCCACGGATGATTTTTAATTTTTCTTCATATTTTTCTATAATAAACATGCGTTACTATTATATTTTTATAACATATTATTGTATATATTAAATATATTAATATATTTGCATAGTATAAACTACAGATACATATATGTATTGCTACTTAAATATTTAAATTTGCATATTTAGATGAAAAAAGTAGATAAATACTTCGATAAGGACAAAAGAGCAGACATGGGCTAACCTTCCTCTGTCCACAGAGATGCCCGGTCAACTGCTTGGCTAGGGGCTCTCATCCCACCCCCCACCCCCACCCCCACCCCCATGGTGTAAAAGAATAGCCTTCCTGCTCCCACAGCCTGGCCCCTCCCCTCCCTGCTCCCACCACCTCACCTCTCCCTGCCTCGGCCCCATGCTATCAAACCACACTGGACGTAAATGAAGGCAGGAGCCCGAGCACCTCCCAGCAGACAGACGCACCCTCCTTCGGGGGGCTCCTGAAGTTACTCCCAGTTACTCCTTGGGGAATTTGGCCAGACCACCTGGCTGGCTGGGTGGCCCAAGGCCGGCCCCATGACATCAGCTGGGCGGGCTCCTTTCTCACTGGCTCCCTCTCCTTCCCTCCCGCCCTGAAACCTGATCCAGCAGAAGAACTGATTGCAGGAAAACCTGGCGGCTGCCCAACCCCAGTGGCGGGGCTCCATGAGGCAGCAGCCTCAGAAGGTGTGGGAAGCGGCCCGGAGAGGCAGGCGGGCTGGGACACACGAGGCCGGGAGCGTGAAGGCAGGCTGCACCCTGGCACGACTCACCCCGGGCTCACGCCCAGCACCCCACACCCAGGAGAGCTCACCATGCTGTTGTGGGTGCCACAGGCACTGCTGGCCTTGCTTCTGCCCACGCTTCTGGCACAGGGAGAAGGTAAGGGGACCGGTCACGCCCATACGACTTGCTGACCCCTGCAGACATGGGCGGGGGTGCTTGATTCCCCCAGGGCTTGAGGGAAGCAGGGTTTTGGGGTGGGTGCTGCTGCACGAGAGTCAGGAATCGTGCCGCAGGTGAGCATGAGAGGAGTTTAAGGGACTGGGGTCCGCCTCCAAAGTTGGGGCGGTTGAGTGTGGGTGGGGCGCCGGGCCTGCTGAGAGGGACCCAGCAGCAGCCTGGCACGCAGCTAGCAGAGAGGGGCTTCTCTGTCCTTTGCCCTGCCCTAGACTCATGGAATGACATCTGCCAGTTTCCTTGGAGCTGAGGCAGTCTACCCCTTCTTGTTGTCAGTGGGAATGCAGGGGTCCAGAGAGGGGCAGTCATTCACTCACACAGCGCCTTCGCAACAGAGTGGGGACCAGAGCAAACATAGTCATCTTTCCTCCACTTTCCTCCACGTCCCTAGTCTTACTGCGTGGGTTCCCTGGGCCTCCTTTCCCAAACTTCCCTTCCAGGGCGAAACTCCAGCGACACCAAACTTTTCGCATCCCCCCACCCACCCTTTCCTGCCTTCCCGGGATAAAAGATGTTGGGCTCACCAAAGGATATGTGGACTTTGGCTACAAACAATATCGGTTCCCCATTCCAGAAGGTCATCTCCCCATGCAGAGCTAGGACGGAGCTGGGGCTGGAGCCCCGTTAGGATGCCGTCTCGGGGCTGGAGAGATAGGAAGAGCTTAAACACACGATGGTTTTCCTCTCCTGAGCTGTCCCTGGGGAAGTTCAGAGGGACAAAGGCCCCAGGCTGCTTGTCAAGACTCTGGTCTGGGGCTTCCCTGGCTGAGGAGAAGTACCGTCCCTTCCAGCGGCCGCTTTTCGCCCCGAGTCCTGCGGGGCCCTGTCGGGTAAGACACACAGAGACTGCGGTTTGAGTCGCTTTTCCTCCACTCGCGGGCACAGGACCCACCTTTCTGAGCCTTGGGGACGCTCCTCTGTAAACGATGCTGTCGTGACAGCCACCCAGGGGGCTGCTCGAGGTCGAACTGAATAATATGTTCCCTGAGGTTATCCCACAGGAGACGCTCAATAAATGGTCTCGCCTCCCGCCTCTCCCTGCTCTTCTCTGTCATTCTGAGGGAAATGGACAGTTCATCAGGGAAAGGACAGAGAGAGGCACCTGCCGGGGCAACGACCCAGGTGGCCCCCTGCTCGTCCTCTCACAGCCCACACCCTGGCCCTCTGGGGCCTTCCCCTTCTCTCCCCTGTGCCTTTCACCTTCATACTTCTTGACAGCTCTCGGGAAATTCTTCTGCTATTTCCCAGAGGGATGACAGGTACGCATGAAACCCCCATAGAATGGGGAAAGGCCTAGGAGTTGGGTTTTCTCACCACTCTCTGGTCCCTCTAGGCCTCGGGCTCTGGGGACAACTCGCTTTCTCCCCACTTCCTGTTCACCCCACACCTAACCCTCTTCCTATCTTCACCAGATCTGCCCACAGAGCAGAGCAGGACGCCTCTGAAGGAGTCCTGCCCAACCCGCCCCCAGGAGCGCGTGTTTGCGGCTGAGAGGGGGGCATTCTGCAGGAAGGGAAAAGAATGTCAGCATTCCTGGAATGGCTCCCTTCTTTCCTCGTCAGCAGCAGGCTGGGGTCAGGGAGCCCAGGGCAGACACCGAGGCAAACCCTCATGCGGACCTTGGGGCTTAGAGATTGTGTGCTTGGAGCTGCCTTTCCTCATGTAGCCCCAGTACCATGTCCTGGGGCCACTCCTCCCTGGTTCCCCAGGGCCCCTCGTCCGTCCCCACAGGCCCGCCGCCTCTGAGCTTGTACCTGCTCTCAGCCTTCCTCAGCCCTTGGCCTCCCTAGACCTCACCTGTCTTGCGGCCCCGGCCTCTGCAGCCAGGCGAGCACCCCCCTCACGCACAGGAGCGTACCTGTCACCCTGAGGAGACAATAGCTTCAGACCTGTTTATCTCTGGAGACAAAATGTTTAATCATGGGAATTTCAGTCAGTGGGCAGACCTGGGGATCTGAGGTGGAAATAGTGGAGACATTTCCCTCTTAACAGCTTTCAAACCAGGGCAAGAGAACTGGGGGAAGCCTGAGGCTCTGAGGCCCACTGTGAACTGTTCTCCCCAGCCAGGCACTGGAGGCCCCTCCAGGCCCAGAACACCTCCAGGCCAGCTCTGCTGAGGCTGTCAGATCACCTTATGGCCAACTACGAGAAGGGCGTGCGGCCCGTGCGCGACTGGAGGAAGCCCACCACCGTGGCCATCGACGTCATTATCTATGCCATCCTCAGCGTGGTGAGTGCGGGGCCCCAAACTGCCCCACTCGGAGGTAGACCTTTAGGGGTGGGAGACCATGGAAGGCCAAGTCACCCCCTGGGAAGTACAGTGGCCATTCAAGGACCCAGAGTACCTGCGACCTGGCACAGACCCGTGTCAGGACATACGATGTCACCCAACACCTGCTCAGCTGCCCAAACCAGAAAACGAGGTCACCTGTGTGGCTGCTTCTCCCGACCCTTATGGCTAGAGACCCACTTTCCACTCAGTGTGTCACGGTCACCACGCCTCTGTGTGAGTGCTGTGAGGCTTCAAACTGCCCTGTTCCTCTCCAGGCCCAAGCTGTGTTACGTGGGCCCCCACACACGGCAGGTGTTGCTGAAACGTTGTTGCAGAATGAATCCGAAAGCAGCGATGAATCTTGTTCTCCATGCAGTCTTGTCCCTGTTGCCGGCACACCAGGGCAGGAGGGAGATACAGATCCAGACATAGAGGCATACAGATACGTAAAAACATGTAACAGAGAGAAGATATTGTCTATAGATCTCCTCTTATCTCTATGTTATGTATATTATGTACATAAAATAGATGTAATATAAGAGATGTATACATATCTATAATAAGCATAACAATAGAAAATAGTAGAAGATATATATATATACACTTTCATATATATATGAAATTTTATATATATATGAAATATATATATATGAATGTGTATATATATGTGAAATTTTTAAAGAATTGGTTGTATTTCTTTCTAGATGTGTCTAGTAAAAGACCACCTCTTCCTGGCTGGCTCCCTTTCCCCTCTCCTTCACTCTCACTTCCCAAAGGACTAGGAACACAAAGCAGCAGCTCCTGTTGGGGTGTGGGTGCAGAGCGGACGCCCAACCCCAGGGCCACCGAAGCTGAGCTCCCTTTCCCTTCACAGGATGAGAAGAACCAGGTTCTGACCACCTACATCTGGTACCGGCAGGTGAGCGACCAACGGCGCGCCCACCCCCATGTCCTGAGATCTGGGCTTCCCCTGCCAGGAAGGATTCCTCCATCTCAAAGGAATCAGGAATCTCAGAGTCCTTGATGAGGGAGAGGGAGGGAAGAGGTTAGGAAGTAGACTCTTGAGGCCCAGGAGTCTGGGCTCCTCTCATCTCAGGACTGGCAGTGGAAGGAAGCGTGTCTGTCAGTGGAGGAGGAATCCTCCAGACCCCTCTGGTTTCTGGGGATTTTCACAGCATCTCAAACAACAACTTGCCCAGCCACTATAGATGGACTATCTATAGTGACCCGGAGCTCAGTGGGCAGCAACTGCACTTTCAGACAACTCTCTTTGCTAGAAAGTTCTTCCTTCTATTACGCCAGATGCAATGACAACCAAATTGGGCGATTGGCAGGGGGTGACTCCATCTACCGAGTCCTCACCCCCTCGGCCACCTCCCCACTCAGTTTCTGACCCACGTCGCTCCGGCGCTGGTGGAAACTCTCTGAGGCCTTTACAGAACGTTTGTGGGGAGCCGGCGGGGAGGGAGGCCAACAGCGCAGGCTGCTGTCCGCGGGCTGGTCTGCTCCAGCAGCCCCTGAGCTGGGGGGCGGACATGAGAGCCGGAGGGAACCCCAGTGGTTGGAGAGCATGGGCAGGAGGACGGGGCCGGTTCCTAGAGGTCAAACGTGAGAGAGGCTCTGTCTGGGGTCATGCCTGGCACAGGACGTTCTCAGTGAAATCCCTCCCGCTCCTCATGCGCATACGCCACTACCAGCTGCTCATGGGGCAGAGAGGGGGGTGGAGGAAGACGCGGGAGTATGGATTCCCATCCGATGGCGCCCCTCGGCCTCACAGAGATCTCACTGTGGAGCACACCTGTGTCAAGGGAAAGGGCCCAGCCCAAAAAGGCAGCCTGGAGCTCCTTTCCTGGGACCTCGGGCTTAGGTCCCACCACTGGACCTCAGGGTCACTTGTCTGCCCAGCAGCAAGGGGACACCAACCTCTCGTCTTCCAGAGACTATGCTAAGGCGCCAGAATCAGAGATGCAAACTAGACTCAGGCCCTGCCCACAGTGAGCTCACAGTCTAGGGGGCCCCCACACATGGTCAGACCTGTGAATGCAGCAAGAACAAGAGGCCAACCACGGGAGCAGAGGAGGCACCTAAACACCCCACCTGGGCTGTGGGGTCCCGGAAGGTTCCTGCAGAAGGGAGCAGACAGATGCATTGGTAAAGTCTGGAGGGACGAGGAAGACCTCCCTCAGGGGTGAAGAGGGGGGTTGCGGTGTGGGAGCGTGGGTAAGAAGAGATGTGGGGCGTTCACCTCCCATGGCCGGAGGTGAGAAGCTACAGAGAGGCAGAATTCACGAGGCTAGAGAGAATGCTGGGGGGTCGGACGATGCGGCCCATTGTAGGCCGTGAGGTCGAACTCTATCCCAAGGGCAAAGTTGGCGACTGGAGTTCTAAGCGAGGGAGTGACACGATTAAGTTGACATTTTAGATCAGTCATTCTGACAGGATGGTGAGCAATGCATTGATCCAAACTTAACAGTAACCATCTCTAACCTGTGAGGTGCGTGTTATTATCTCAGTTTACACATGAGCAGACCAAGACCCAAGAGGCTATCTGTCTAAGATCCCGCGGTTGGCAGCTGGGCTGTTCAAATAGGAAAAATGGCCGCATGCCTTCCCTGGGCAAGGCTTCATCTGCCTGGGTCATACCTGCATGCCGGGAGTGTGTGAGCACAGAGGTGGGGGGCTCTTGGGTACTGCCGAGTGATCGGGGACACCAATACCCAGATTCCCCCTGAGCAGTGACGTCACCCCAAGTTGCGGATGTACCCCCCAACCAAGATGGAGGGGGCTGCCTGTGACCATCCCCACTCCTCCTCTAGTACTGGACTGACGAGTTTCTCCAGTGGAACCCCGAGGACTTTGACAACATCACCAAGCTGTCCATCCCCACCGACAACATCTGGGTCCCAGACATTCTCATCAATGAGTTGTGAGTGCTGTCACCCAGTCCTGGGCTGCCCGGTGCCTCCGGGGCTGGGGAGGGACAGGGCGTGGGGACACGACTCTGCACGGCAGGAGAGGTCCCACCCAGGCTTGCAGAACTGTCAGGTGACTGTAGGAATTGCCTTGGGCCCCAACTCCCCTTTGTGGTTGGTTGGTTTTCTCTTTTCTTTCTCTTTTCTTTTTAAAAACTCCTTTTTCTATGCCTGATGTTGAAACTTTGCGTTTCTTGGTCCGAGGGCCCCCTTCCTGGCGAGGGGAAGCTGAGGAATGAATCCCCACTGTTAACAGTAGCTGAATGAGGGGCAGCTGCATTACCAAAAGGGGTGAAGTGCCCCAGGGGTCACCACCTTGGTCACAGGGTGATTTGGAGCTGGAGAGGCTCAGACGTTTCAAGTCATGCAATGACTGGCTGGCTCCAGCTTGTACCCCCAGTGAGAAGTGGGTACCCCCATCCTTTATTACCAACAGCTGAACACTGTCTCATGGGGCCCCCAGCTAACATCCGTTCCCTCCATCCTTCAGGCTCCTTCGGGCTCTGCTGCTTGGGCTTCTGAGTGCTAGAGCATGGAGAGGGCTGGGGAGACAGATGGAAGGAGGAAGGGGCCCAGGGCCAGTAGCCTTCCACTCAGTAGGCACTGTGTTGTCCGATGCCTGGGGTCCCACTCACTCTGTTTTTCAGGGAAGGCAGCTGGCCCGGAGCCCCATGACCTGCACAGCTCAGGCTGCAGGGATCCCAGTTCCTGGCTGGGTCTCCAGTTAAACTGTGAAGCAGCCTGAATCTTGATTTCTCACCTCTCAGCCTTATTCTACAGGAGGTTACAGGCTCGGGACGCCCAGCTCAGGCCATTCCGTGCCACAGTGGCCACTTGGGAGAGCCTAGGGGTTGGGGATCTGCTGAGAGAGTGGGGCTAAGTCTTGCAGAACTTTCCACCTTGCCTCATTTCTTCTCCATAATTTCTCTAGTTGATTCTCCTCCAGGCAAGATCATTCTCATGTCCAAAGGACTACTGGGGATGGGGAGCAAAGGGAAGCCCGGGTCAGGATGGAACCCGAGATCCTGCTTACCCATTGAGACTGCCCATGGCCACTGAGCCAACTCCTTGGACTAAGCTCTGCCCGGCTGGGGGTGGCGGCATAGGGATAACTGGGCGTGTGTGTTAGAGCCAGTGGCTGTGAGGTACATGGATTCCCTGCCTGCCTTTTGTGGCGAGGTTGCCAAGGGAATGAAGGAGAAATGCCCTTTCCTGCTTGGAAGGTAACCCTGACAATGGCAGGTAAGAAAGCCTAGAAGAGATGAGAAGGCAACTGGGCAGGTTGTCCTGCTGCCCAGACCCTTCCTGAATTTCTATCCCTGCTGGGTGGCTCAGAGACCTTCAGACTCCCAGAGCTTGACCTGCTTCTTGAACCCCCAAACTGACCCTCTTCCCTGGCCAGTGTGGACGTGGGGAAGTCTCCAAGTATCCCGTACGTGTACGTTGGGCATCACGGCGAGGTCCAGAACTACAAGCCCCTTCAGGTGATGACCGCCTGTAGCCTCGACATCTACAACTTCCCCTTCGACGTGCAGAACTGCTCCCTGACCTTCACCAGCTGGCTGCACACCAGTGAGTGCTGCATGGGGCTCCAGGAAGGGGCAGGGCATGGCAGAGGGGGGCAGCCCCTAGGAGGCTCTCTCCTTTATCCAAATCACTTCCTGCTTCTTTCCTTAATGCCGCTGAGCCTGGCCTCTTCCTCCAGACAGGGCTCTGCGCTTGCCCTTTCTGCTCCCTCAGTTGTTTCCAGGGTCCAATGAGGCTGTGTAAACTTTCAGCAGGACACTCAGTAAGGCCAAGACAGGACGTGGCCCTAAGTGTCCCTCACTTGTCTTCTCCACTGACACACCCTCACCCCTAGCCTTCTGCAGTAATCTCCTAGCTAGTCCTCCTCCAATCCATGCTCCCCATAGCAAATGGTGAGAACTTATTAAAATGCAAATCGGACCTTGTCCCAGCTCTAGCTTAAAAGCCTGAGTGGCTTCCTGGGACTCCTGAGACAGAATCCTTCACCTGGCTCGCAGGGCCTGCGCTTGACTCACTACAACATCCTCAACCCAGTGCACACTCCCCTGAGTTCAGCTCCAGCCCTGCTGCCTTCCTTTCCAGGCCCCGAAGCCCCTTGTTCTCTTCCTCTCCAGGCCCCAAAGCCCCTTGTTCTCTCCCTTTATCCCAGGCTGCTTCCTATCCTTGGCCCCCCGCCTCCTCCCCCTCCATCTCCTGCTCCCCTTCCCGCCCCACTCCTGCCCCAAACCCCTCCTGGTGCGGTCAAGCCCCCTGCTCACCCAAACCCAGCAGCAGCTCAGTGCCTCAGGGAAAGCGGGCTCATCCCCAGACGAGGGGGGCCAGTTCTAGAGCACCCTGTTCCCCCCACTTCCATTGCATACGTAGGTGCTTGTTCAAAGTCTGCTTCTCTAGCAGAGAGAAACCCAGAGAGGGCAGGACCACGATTTCTGACCCAGCGATGGGTCCCCAGGACAGTGCCTGGCACAAAAGAAGGGGCTCGGCCTCTTTTATTTAGTGGGTGAATGCCAGGGGCTCAGTAAATCCCAGTGAGGAGAGCGTCACACTCCTGCAGAAAGACATCCTCGCTTCTGTCTGATTTTATCACATTAACTGTACTTTACGAAGGTAACACACAACTTCCTTGGGCAAAAACCAGAATTACAAATAATCTTAGACTTTTGACCTCTACCTACCTTCATGAAGTCCCAGACTCTTCCCCAGAAACTCCCCACACCAGGACGGCACAGCTCTTATAAGTATAAGCTTCATATGGCACATTCTTCCAGATCCTTCTCTGTGCTTGGCCTATACACGGGCAGACACATCTGTGGAAAGCCCATGAAATTTATTTCATATACTTTCATTTTATGAAATGCAACATTTATGCTACTGCTACCTGGTTCTTTGCACTCTGTGAGAGGTCTTGGACGTTTTTCCGAGTTAGTGCCTATTTACATGTTTCTCATAAATGTCTGCTGTGGCGTAGCCTGGGGTTTGAAGACACCGTAGTTTAGTTAAGCCTCTTCCTCATTGGTGGACACATACCTCTCCCCGTATGTTGCTGTAATGGATACTCCCGGCCTTCTAGGATGTACCTGTTTCTCCAGCAGGGATGCAGACAAGTAGAACTGCTATTCTCTAAGTGAAGGTTTCACTTATTTCCCTAGTTCTCCTTTATTCTTCCTTTCTTTCCCTCTCTCTCTCTCTTTCTTTCTCTCTCTCTCTCTCTTTCTTCTTGAGAGAGAAAGTGCACATGCATGAGTGGGGATGGGGGACAAGGGAGAGGGAGAGAAGGAATCTTAAGCAGGCTCCATGCTCGGCATGAATGTGGGGCTCAATCTCAAGACCCTGAGACCATGGCATGAGCTGAAATCAAGACCTAGATGCTTAACCTGACTGGGAAACTTAGATCATGTTTAAGGGCAGGCCACTCTATCGGGGAAAAGTGAAGAATGTTGATTTTTGTTCGTTTCATAAGTAGGTGACCCTAATGGAAACATACACGGTTTGGAAGGGGTATGTGCAGTGGGGGGAGACAGAGAAGGAGATAAGGAGAGGGAGAGGGGGACTTTCTAATAAGTCATTTGTCTGGTTCTGGTTCTTTGCATTTCACTGTGTTCTCATGCACACTGTCGCTCCCCTCACTACTGCCCCCCACCCCAGGTGGGTACCGTGTGCACTGTTACCTCATTTGAGCTAAGTCCCATCCCAGGGTCTGCAGCCTCCAGAGCCGGCTTGCTTTCTTCCCTCTCAGTCCAGGACATCAACATCTCCCTGTGGCGTCTGCCGGAAAAGGTGAAGCTCGACAAGACTGTCTTCATGAACCAGGGCGAGTGGGAGCTTCTGGGGGTGCTGACCCAGTTCCGGGAGTTCAGTATGGAGGACAGCAGCCATTACGCAGAAATGAAGTTCTACGTGAGTGGGACTGGGGCGGGCACAGGGGGACGGCCACCGGAGCTGGGGGTCGTCAGACCCACGTGGACTCCAGGAGGCACGGGGTGGGGAGTGGAGGGGAGAAGCAGCCCTTTTCCTAGCCCAAGGGTCACACTCATGCCTTGGAACTTTAGGGAAGTAGGTGGGGAGTAAGGAGTGTCCCTCTGCAAGTAAGCTGTCCCTTACTGCTCCTTGGCCGCCACAGGCCTCTATCTGGAGACAGAATGTGAGGTCGGTCCGGTCTCCTCTCTCAGCCGTCTGGCCCAGAAGCTCACAAAGCGAGGGGGTCCGGGAGGGGCTGGCGGTTCTGGGGCGCAGAGCCCGTCTGTCCCAGCTTCCCCCCACAGCTCCCGTCCTGGTCTTAGGTGGTCATCCGCCGGCGGCCCCTGTTCTATGCGGTCAGCCTGTTGCTGCCCAGTATCTTCCTCATGCTCATGGACATCGTGGGCTTCTACCTGCCTCCAGACAGTGGAGAGAGGGTCTCCTTCAAGATCACGCTCCTCCTGGGCTACTCCGTCTTCCTCATCATCGTGTCGGACACGCTGCCGGCCACAGCCATTGGCACTCCCCTCATTGGTAAGGCCCCCCTGGGGCAAGCGTGCAGTGTGCCCAAGGAACCGAGAAACAAGCCCCCTCCCACCTGCGCTGTGTGTCCCCACCCTGCCCCATGTGCGCAGGAGTCTACTTCGTCGTGTGCATGGCATTGCTGGTGATGAGCTTGGCTGAGACCATCTTCATCGTGCGGCTGGTGCACAAGCAGGACTTGCAGCAGCCCGTGCCCGCCTGGCTACGGCACCTGGTTCTGGAGCGGGTGGCGCTTCTCCTTTGCCTAGGGGAGCAGCCAGCTTCTCGACGGCCCCTAGCCACCTCCCCAGCCACCAAGACCGATGACTGCACAGGTGAGAGAAGGAGGGGGTTCCCACACAGGGGCCTGGGCCTGGGGACTTGGTGGAGAGCCTCTGGCTGCCGCGGCGGGATATGCCAGGGTCTGGGCAGGGCCTCAGAAGTGGGTACTGTCCTGCGCATGACCCCCCCATCCCCGGCCTCATGGGAAGGCAGCGGAGTTCAGATGCAGGCATCAGCGGGACCCTTTCCACACCTTCACCTCCTCTCGTCATCCTGGGGATGGGTAGGGAGAAGGAAGGAGTTCCAGGGGCAGAGCACATTGGGAGCTGAGATTCGGGGCTGAGAAGAGCCCTTCTCTGAGATGGGCCCTAACAGGGAGCAAATGCGTGCTGCTCAGACAGCAACGGGACTTCTTCCCCAGCAGGGCGAGGTCTGCAGCAGGATTGCCAAAACTCCTGCATTCCATCAGCTTAGAGACCAGGCCCCTTTGAATTTCAAACACCTATGAGACAGAGAGATGGGGATGCTGGGGACATGGACTGTGGCATTAGTTTTCCCTGAGACATCGTTACAGACACTACCTGGTGGTGGTGGGCGGGGTTCGTTGTGACTCATTGATGTATTTGTCGAGCGCTTTGGGCCAGGCATGAGTATCTTCTGTGCACCACCATAGGCCATCCTCAGGCCCCCTAATAGCATTCCCATCCTCATTTGTCAAATGAGGAAACAGAGGCTTACGGTCAAATAACTTGCCCTTAAGTCATAGCACCAGGGACTGGTGGAACTGAGTGGAACACAGACCCATCGGCTGCTAAGCTGGTATTCCTAACCACTGCACCCGCTTTTGTCCTCCCTTCTGGCAAGACCTAGGCCTTTTACAGATGGTATGTGGCTAACCTAAGACCACCTCACCATGAATGGATGCGCTGGTACACCAGCCTCATGCCCAGCTTATCTGCTCGCCTGCAAGGTGGCCATGGCTGGAGGCAGATTTCCTGGTGCAAAAGGCCTTGGGTTGGAGTCGAGGATTAGAGGACAGCATGGCCTACTGGCAAGGGCCGTGGATTCACAGCCCAGATGCCTTAGGCCTTGGTGGCCTCACATTTAAATGATGCCCTGGGTGTGACCACAGGCTCCTCACTTACCCTCTGTGAGCTTTAGCCCCTTCCTGTAAAATGTGCAAGTAATTATCACTCCTACCCGGCCTCTCTCATGGGCTATGAGGCTCAAATGAAATAATATCAAATTGCTGGAGCAAGCCCAGGCCTTTAAAAACGTGCATGGGAAGAAATAAGCACCAGAGTCACAATCTCGGTGACCTGCGGAGAGGATGGAGGATGTGAGTGAGAGGGGTACGCAAGAGTCTCCAACGGTGTTGCTTTCCTTATTTGTTTAAGTCACGTGGTGGGTCCACAAATAGGTGAGTTAACCTCTATAGCCTTTCTGTCCAAAATTGTTCATAACAATTTCTCCAAGCCACCGCGGAAGCAGAAGGGATGGTATTCACGCTCCCTCCTTTGCCAATGCACTACCCTTTTTCCAGACCGAAACCACTGCAGCCATTTGGGAGACCCCTGGGACTTGGAGAAGACCCCAAGGGGCCGAGACAGCCCCCCGCCACCACCGCGGGAGGCCTCGCTGGCAGTTCGAGGGCTGCTACAGGAGCTGGCCTCCATCAGGCGCTTCCTGGAGAAGAGGGACGAGAGCAGAGAGTTGGCCCGGGAGTGGCTGCGCGTGGGCTCCGTGCTGGACAGGCTGCTGTTCCGCGTCTACCTGGTGGCGGTGCTGGCCTACAGCGTCACCCTCATCACTCTGTGGTCCATCTGGCAGTATTCTTGAGTGGGCATGGCCCAGCAGGGGTGCAGGGGCGTCAGGCACTGGCGAGAAAAGGGATGGGGTGCAGGACCCAGAGGGAGCCACAGACGTCTTCGAGACCCTGTCCAAAGCCAGTGTGTCTCAGCAACTCTGAACCAGGGCTGAGACTTCCCCAGAACGCTTGGCGTTCAAGACCCTTCCACCCCTGCCTCCCACCCCCAACTTACTATGGCTTTAAAACATGCTGCCATAGATCAGGACCAACCCAGGCATCCCCTGCCTTCATTCTATTCATCTATGCCTCAAGCCTTGGTTTCCCCTTGTCCCCTCCCTGCATATGGCACTTTGGACTTCAGCCCATCTCCCTCAACCTTGGTTTTAGATTCGAGGCAAACCAGCTCTCTACCACACAGGGCTGACAGCACCTCCTGAGGCTGACCCGACCTTAATGGCTCCTTCCTCATCTCATCTGTGGCCACTTCCCAGAGCACTAATGTTATGTCAGATGACCTGGGAGCGAGGGAGGGGGAGGGGAAGAGGGAGGGGGTGTGGGCAGAGGGAGCAACAGAATACAGTGAAGGCCTAGACTCACTTTTTTTTTTTTTTAAGATTTTATTTATTTCTTAGACAGAGATCACAAGTAGGCAGAGAGGCAGGCAGGGGGTGGGGAGGGGAAGCAGGCTCCCTGCTGAGCAGAGAGCCTGATGCAGGGCTCGATCCCAGAACTCTGAGATCATGACCCGAGCCAAAGGCAGAGGCTTAACCAACTGAGCCACCCAGGCGCTCCCCTAGACTCACTTCTTAACGCTTTGTCAGCAGCTGGGTGGGGGGAAGAAGAAGTTTAAAGTTACTGGTGGGAAGGAGGTAGAGACATTATCCGTGGTTTCAGTGGTTGGGTGCTTCCTGCCCCCAGTGAATCAGGAGTTGACCAAACAGGGGCTGTAAGAAGACACAGTAGGAGGTAGAATCCAAGGTGGGAGGATAAGGACCACCACCACTTAGCAATGGAAAGGTGAGGAGCCGGAAGGTCGGTTCTGTTAACCCCTAGGAAGATGCTGGAAGTGTCCTCAGGGTCCTGTTACCATTCCTGGCTCCTGGTCTCTGGGCGAAGCTGGGAACAAACTCTCTCCCTGCTAGCGGATCCCACAGTGGAGGCAGGGACATCAGCACCACGGCCAGCACTCGCTGGTCTTGGTCTTTGGAAGATGGAGGAAAGCCAAGACTTGAGTTTAACTATCTCCTTTGGGAACTCTCCACAGCCAGCTCTGGGCACATTCACCCAAAAGCAGGACCGTTGAGAGAGGCAGAGTTGGGTGCAAGGTCTTTGGTGTTACATCTCATATCCTGGTCCCCTCTCCTAAACACCAGGGTTTACAAGACATGCTGAGGAGTGTTGCAACTCTATGATTCCCTCACTCCATCATCTGACAAGTGTTCAGAGGAGAGGAATGCTAGAATCCGGCAAGAGTGACCTGAGTGTCACAATGTTTGCTTGACTCTTTCTCTGGTCCACCCTTTCTCTTTCCAGCCCTTAGGCTGCCGGTCACTCAGAGGAAGACAAGGGGGAGAGGGACTGAACCTGCCAATCTAAAGGGAAAGGACCTCAAAGGAGGAGTATCAGGGATGAATGTTCTGGGCTGGCCAGTCATGAGGGTTTCAGTATGGAACACCTGATCTTATACCTTCTCGTGATCCCAAAGTGCAGTTCTAGTGTAGACCATCCTGGGAGGCTAGGAGGATGCCAGACCTTGGGCCCTTGGGAGCTTCAAGACTGGGAGAGCCTGCAGACTGTGGAAGGGAACTTAATCTGTTTTAACTTCTCTCAGCTTCTCCCTATGTTCCCCAACATGCAAAATGAACTCATTAAATATTATTTAACTGGTTGCTCGTTCCTAAGGGCAAAATGAGAATGAAGTTTCACCTGTTATTTCCACCCCAGACATATGTACCTTTGCTGTTAATTAGGGATTTAAATTTATCTTTGTTTTGTTTTTGGGTGGATATCAGGGACCTCCAGCAAAAAGCAGGAGACTGTGGGGGCTGGGGATTGGCTGCATCACAGCTCTTGCCTCCCACTGAGCAGAGACTGGGCTCTTTCAGGATGGTGTTGGAAGCTCATACTTGGAGCCTGGTCTTGGGAGCAAAAGTTGCCTCACTCCACTAGGATTTGCTGGGGCTGGTTCCTGCCATCAGCTGATTCTTATGCCTCGGGCCAGAGAGAAAGGTGGACAGTCCAGTACTGTCGATGCACCACTGGTCAGTAAGTGGGTGGCTATTGACAAAGTGTCTGACCAGAGAGCTAGTAAGACACTAATCAACCTATCGATTCCTCATCTCCCCCCTCCCCACCCTTCACCCACAATCAATGGGGCAACAGAGCCCAACATCGAGGCAGCCAATTAACCACCTTGAGAATGAGCCGCCCCGTGTAACATCTTCTGCCCCACTAGCCACAGCCAATCAGCTCATCGATCCGGCATCCTAACTGTGCTGCCCAGGGACAGGAAACTGAGGCCCAGGGCCAGAGAAGCCCCAGTGTACTACCTCTCGTCCGTCAATACTGATCTTGGTCTTCTCCCAAGGAGACCTTTACCCTGTCTGGGATATGAGAACACCCAGAATTTCCTTCCCACCTGTTCTGTCTCCCAGAACCTGCTCCCTTCCTTCCTCCTGCTGATTCAGCTCTTTGCCTCTCATGAGAAAACCAGAAACCACCTATGTCTTTGGAAGTGTTTCTGAGAAGCTTGCTGGTTCTCTGTCTTCACTCCACTCCTCTCCTGCGGCCTTCCCTCGCCACCCACAAGACTTTTGCTCTCACCTTCTTTTCCCACTCACCCTGTTTTCCAAACCTGTCACGTCTGTGCCAAAGATCCCACTGAAGGTCTTGAAAGTGGCCAGCATGAACCTTTCCAGCCTTCTGGATTTGTGGCTGGATTCGTGCTGCTCGAGGGGCGGAGCCCGCTGACACCATCCCATTGGGGAGGCTGCCTTTCCGCCAGGTCAGTAGCAACCTGGGCTTAATGGCCTCAGGCCTCCTGACACGAGTAGACCTCCCTTGGTTTCCAGGACAGTCCAGGGAGAGGAGGTGGGCTCAGAGTCAGGATACGGGAGATTTCTCTAAGAGAACAGGAGAGAGGGAAAGTTCCCCGGTGGGGTGAAGGCAGAGGGAGCCTGGGGAGGGGTGGGGTTCAGCAATCACCAGCCAGCTTTTCCTCCCTCCCCCCACCTCCCCTCAGCCTCTGAATCAATACATTTTGAATCTAATCTAATAACAGAGATTTAACGAGGGGATAATGCACGTGGAGCGGCCAGGCGCTTTGTCTCTGCTTTCAAGCGGCAGCTGGGGCCCATTATCCGGGGACAATGCCCCATGCTAATCACTCCCTCTCTCCTCCGAGTGTTTGGGGAGGGGTGGTGGGCAAAGAGGGCAGCTCCTCTCTGATTAGAGGGGAGTGGAGGGGTGGAAGAGAGGGGAAGAAGTAGAGAAGGGTCTGGATGGGCCCCCCACAATTGTCTTGACCCAACACCAACTCCTTGCCCCCCGCCACCTGGCCCACACTGTCCGTCCTGACCAGTCAGGGCCCGGGAGCCCTAACTGCGCACAAACAGCAGATAATTACCTATCAGCTGCAAGTCCCAGTGGCTGGGAGTTGGGTGGGTTTTTTTTTTTTTCTTTTCTTTTCGCTAACTTGGTCCTCTATAATTTAAGCTCTCCCATTAATGCTTGTGATTGGCCAGCCCTGACTGTCATGGTTAGAGAATTAAACCGTGGTTTAGAGACCAAGAATACCCCTCTCTGAAACATAGCCCCTTCTTCTCTCTCTTCTCTCTGGGACTTTATAAATGGACTTGACCTGCTGGGAGAAGTGTGAGGTTAGACTGTAGCAAGAACTTCCTGATAATCACCTTGACACGGATTAGATTGGGAGTCTGAAAGGGAAGGAACAGAATCTAATTTTTGAGCAGCCTTGAAAGAAAGAGCCCTGTACCTAGGTTGGGAAGGGACAGACCAGGGCGGAAAGATCTGCCTGTTTCCCCTGTCAGAGCTCTAGTTGGAGGAGCCCAATGCCTGCACCGGCCAGTCCCATTCCTTTCTGCAACATAGTTATTGGGGGCACTGTGGGTGCTCAGGGTAGTAGCCACAGACTCGTGACTTGGCCCCCATCACACGCCCGCTGTGAAACTGGGACGGGAACTCCTCTATGCCTCCATTTTCTCCTCTGCAAAGTGAGGATCATATTAGCACCTGGCCTATTGGTATCGTGGGCGCTGTGCCCCCAACATGGGGAGAAACCCGGGAAAGCACGAGGCTGGAGTTGAGAGGTGGCTCATGGCACTCTCAGCCCTTCCTCCGTCTCCTCATATCATGCTCTGCATGGGTAGAGCTCTCCCCAGGGAGACTGGAGATGAGGCCTTTGTCCTCCTCGTCCGTCCCCATTTCAGAGACGGGCAGGGCGAGGTGAGCTGGTTGCTCATCATAAGGCCAGTGGGAGCTCAAGTTCCTGTTCCCACCAGGCTGGATTCAGACCTCTGTGCCCCATACCTTTGCGTCTCTTTTACTCCCATTACTGTCCCCCTCCCTCAGCCCGCACATTCTCAGCTCCTCTGCACCAAGTTCCTCCTCAAAACCACAGCTTTGAATTCCTGCTCTGGGAAGACGCATAAACCTAATCTGATCCTGACTAGGTCTCTCCCATTCCACTCCACCGTGTCACTGTCTGCAAAGAGAACGAAACTGTTAGCAGAGAGACACACCATGCGTATGACAGTGGGGACTGTGGGAACCTGGGGATTCACTTCCGCGTGTCTGGGAGAACCCCACCCTCAAGTCTTAGAAAGATCTAGCCTAAGGCCTGGAATGGGATGTAAATCTTTGGCCAAAGGGAACCACAACCTTGTCATTCTGAAGTCTGTCCACAAGGTGGCAGCAAAGTCCAGAAATTCTATGGAGAGGCCTTGAACCATTTTCTCACCCCCTTCCCTGCTTCCCAGGGGTCTCTGAAGCCCCCTTCCAGGCCAGCCCTTTTAATTCTAGAGTGCTGGGTGCCCTGTTTTGATGCTCTGGGCAGAGGCTGTCCCATTGCTCCCTCCCCCATCACACACCTGTGGCCACACTGATCCCTGAGGAACTGACCCTCTTGCTTCTGTGTCCACACTAAGCCACATACTTTGTCTCTCTTCAGCTCTCTGCAGTGAAGATACTGGTCCCTGGGAGTGAAGACGCTGTTTTTGCCAAACCCATGCATGTACAGGCTCATGGAGGACTCTCAGCATTTCTCTGCTGCCCAGGTCTCCAGGGCCCCAAACTCAGCCCACCCCCAGCTGGTTGAGATGGTTCTCAAGGGTCCAGGAAAAGCAGGTGAGAGGAAGGTTCTGCCTAGAGCAGGAGCTAGT